ACTACAAAAATTCGAGGTGATATGATGGGTGTGACAATTCTCATTCTTAAACTCTTTCCCACACCCACTACAATGTTTAAAGAAATCATTTAAATCTTTACAAGGAAACCCTGGTCCAACCCTTGAACAGTTAGGGCATCTAGATTTACACGAGATTGCATGGTTAGTTTTCTTATCATAAACAGTTTCACAGGATAAGCAATAGGGTTGTCCAAAAAGATCGCTTGCCCTACGGACCCCGTCAAAGTGTTCCTTATTATAAAACAAAATTATGGGTGTATCAAAATTATCGGGGCCATATTTATAAATTGGTTTTTCCCCTAAGTCCCCGAATATAAAAACTTTAAACCATCCTTTATTCAGTAAATTCCAATATTCAACCACAGAGGGAATCCATTCTTCCGCATCATAGGTGTCCAGGTTTAAAGGTGCACCAACACTTTGCATTAGTTCCATTGTGTCTTTCTTGAATTGATTAGTCATCCCTCGTCGACTGCGCATGTAGTCGTAAAATTTCCATCTGGGCCATAAGCAAGTTGCATAGATAAAAGTTGCAACAAGAGAATAGAACAAGCAATAGTTGTCGTTGTTGCGAATTTTGATGAGAGCATTGTCATTAATTTTAAGTTGTTTTGATGATGAATTTCTTCCACGGCCATGTACTCGACGGGGGTTGTCACTTCGTTGAATAGTGGATACCGAGACAAGAAAAGGTGCGCCCCATAACATACCATTATCTTGTTTTTTACTCTGGGCGACCTTTAGGAATTGATTCAAGATTGAATCAATCGTGTTGGGTGTGATTTCCCGAACCGGAATCCAAACGTCAGAATCGAGATTCTGACTCGATATTATACACCCTAGTTGCTCAGGTTCAACCCCCCATTGACGACTCTCTTCAAGAGCTTCGTCAATTGTATGCTGGAAAATCTCAGCTAAAAGGGATTCAGGATCGTTGGGCAGGTTAGAAATAAGGAACTTAGATGAGACCTTAGACGAGTTAAATTTACGATTAAACTTGGTCTCATGACCAAGCTTCTTTACAAAAGGGTTATTGGTTTCGGAACCTAGTATATTGGAAATTGAAAAATTCTTAAATTTTTTGGAGGGTGGAGGAAACATTTTTAAAAAAAAAAGATGAAAGGTTGTTTTGTCTCGAAGAAGCTGGTGTTGAACAGTAGAATGATTTTTCAGATAAAGTCAATTTCTTTTTATACTTCCGTTCTAGCTCCACCTATTCAAATGATTTTCAAGATAAATCACAGCTGGATTTTTAGAGAAATTTTCTAATAACGGATTAAAATTTTTAATCTAGGTTAAAATTTTTAATAATAACCTTGAAAAATTGACCTAATTTTTGGAAATTTTATAAAATTTTATTTAAGAGGGATGTTGTAGTACCGAGTTAAAAAGCAAGAGATAAAACATGTAGAAACAATGTAGGCGAAGGTGATAGGTTGGAGCAGATGAAGGAAATCAGCACAATATTTTAATATTTATCCCTATTTTTATCTCTATTTATTCTCAATTTTTATTACTTCACCTTTTTATTTTTCCCTATTATTTTTATTTTCAATATTTATTCTTTTATTTTTTTCCATTCAAAAATTTTTATTACAATTTTTCTTTTCTTTTGTTAACAAAAGAAGCAAGTTTTTAGGTCAGGCTGACCGGAATTGAAAAGAAAGTTGAAATTTTTTAAGAAAAGGGAAATTTTTTAAGATGACCCAGAACTTTTAAAAATTCAAAAGAAAAGATTTGAAAAATTAAAAGAAAAAGGAAAAGTTTTTAAGCTGACCTACAAATTTACAAAAGAAAATTTTAAAAAATAAAGAAATGTTCGCACAATGCGCGAACAAAAATACAAAAGAAAAATTAAAAGAAATTTTTTAAAAATCTAAAGAAAGGAAAAGTTTTCTAGGTCAAAAATGACCCATAAAATCTTTAAAAATTCAAAAGAAATGAACGCATGCTGCGCGAAAAAATACAAAAGAAAATTAAAAGAAATTTTTTAAAAGTTTGGGAAAAAGGAAAAGGGAAAAATAAATTTTAAAAATTTTTGGGGGAAAGGGACCTAAACCTTTTGGTTTGAAAGGTTCGGTACCGGATATCCCTAATTAGTGTACTAATTACAAGGAAAATTAGGAAGTAATTAAATACATGGAAATAATGGTAATTACATGGACTCTTTCTTTTAAATCAGTTATCTTTGATAAGACCTCTTGGGATGGTATGAGATGTCCCTAAACCTTTAGGATGGTCCTAATTAGTGATGTAATTACATGGAATTAATTAGGGATTAATTTTGCGGACCCCTCTGCCCCTGACGACGGGGGCGGGGGACTAACTACTGATGCGAAAGCGAAAGCGAAATTATTTAAAAATTTTAAAAATATTTTATTCATATTCAAAATTATAAATTACGAGATTGTGATGAAAAATAAAAGCATTAGTGCATTTTTTTAGAAGACTCTTCTTAAGATTGCTTATTATTAGCGCCCGGCACCGGACCGGGCTCCAGGCCGGCTTTGCCTGAGTCCGGGTCCCAATCGGATTAATCCAAAAAATCCGGCCGGCCCCATTTTTCATCTTTTACTATGAACTTTATAAATTTTCCATCGATCTTTTCACATTTTAATATACTGATATCCATTTTAATTCAAATCCCTTTCCTGCGCCGCAGGCGAGAATTTCGAGAATTTTGGAGGCCCTTAAGTCAGATCTCTTCCTTTTTCAGCGCCGCAGGCGAAAATTTTAGAAATTTTGGAATGCCGAGAAGCCAGATTTCTCCATTTTTGTCAATAAATTTGGTAAAAATATTACGAGTCTTGTTCGAGTCGTGCCAAATATGATTAATATTTTATAAAACAAATTTACAATTTAAAATTAAAGTTTAAAAACATTTATTTTTGGAAGAAAAAATTGTTTAAGTCTTATTTCCTATGTCTGGATTCGAACCCATCCCCCAAAAACACCAATGTGAACGAAGTCAGTCAACTTAACCACTCCACCATCAACCAACGAAAGCAAAGTGTCAGATTATAAATATTTCTTTTCCTTTTCCTTTAAAAATTTCTATGTCAAAATATCTAAAGAAATGAAAAAGGCGAAACAAATTTCGCATTCGGACCAAAATGCGAAACGCGAAACTTTTCGCGCCAAAAAATGCGAGAATGCGAAAGATGCGAAACGCGAAATTGCGAAATGAGCCCAGCCCTGATATACAGGGTGCCTCAAAAGTCTTTGCCCGCACATTTTTTACCATAACTTTATTAAAACTTAATCAAATAAGATCAAAATACAATCAAATAATAGAGAATTAAATGGGGAACAAAATAAATCAAGATTTTTCGAAATACCTTCCTTTAGCTTTAAGATAGAGCCGCAAACGCAAACAAAAATTTTTGCAAAATTGCCGCACCTCCTTGGTTCCTCTTTTCAGATGCCAAAATTTTTATGAAAGAGACATGTGCGAATCGCAAAAATGACTGATACTGTGCCTCAAAATCTCCTCTTTCTTATCCAGTTGTTAAGGATTTCCAAAATCCTTCCCTCGAAATGATATGGACTGTTATTTGCAAAACGATCAAAATTCCTTGATTTTTATGAATCCTTGGGTCAAAATAAATAAATACTTTGATCTACTCGAAATCCCTCAGTATGTTTTAGAGCACTGGGTCTGGGAAAACTTTTGGTATAGGAACTGGATCTATAAGTAGAATTCATCTCCTGATTATAAGGCTAAAGTGATGCAAGGTTGTCTTGTTGCCAATTTTCTCGGTTTTAGTGTGCCTCAAAAATAGCTACCGTACACACCGTGTTTGAATCCTTGGATTTATTTTTTTGATCAATTTTGGAGGCAACGTTCTTTGCTTAATAACCCCAAAGTTTGGAGTCACTCCGACAATCACTCGTTCAGAAATGGGAAAAAATTACCCCATAATAGGTGCGGCAATTTTGCAAAAATTTTTGTTTGCGTTTGCGGCTCTATCTTAAAGCTAAAGGAAGGTATTTCGAAAAATCCTGATTTATTTTGTTCTCCATTTAATTCTCTATTATTTGATTGTATTTTGATCTTATTTGATTAAGTTTTAATAAAGTTGTGCTAAAAAATGTGCGGGCAAAGACTTTTGAGGCACCCTGTATTTTGGTAATTCATTTTCTGTGAAATGTCTAATCAGTCTAATCAGCTAACACGCAATCTATTCCAAAAGGCTTAAATTTATCGGGTATTTGCTCCATTCTTTGGATCAATGAAAAATTATTGACGGTTGACTGTTTTATGATGATATCCTAGTTGTTTAATTTCGATGTAAGCTCGCACTTATCAGAATAGATGTGCCACTCATAATAATAGATAAGCCACACATCAGAATAAGTGAGTGTCCCGATGTCGATTCCCGACTAAGTCGGGAAATTTTACACCTAGGAATGGCTTTTTTTGATAAAATTTTATTTTTTAAAGGTAAAAAATTAAAAAAAAGGAAATTGAAAAGAAAAAGTAAAAGGGAAAAATATGTAAAATTTTCTGCACGATGGTTGATTGGACTAAGTTGAGTGACTTAACCCACTTTGATATTTAATGGGGATGGGTTCGAATCCAGGGTTAGGAAATCTGAGTTAAATCATTATTTCTTCAAAAAATGTGTTTAACTATGATTTTAAAATAGTATATTTATTTTTTTAGTATGAGTAAAGGTAAAAAACTGGAAATAGTTTTTGGAAAAAGATTTAAATATCTAAAAATTTCCCTGTCCAGCAGTTATATTAATTCGAACTCGGAAAATTAAAAAAATACAATTAGAACTCATAAACATGAAAAAACCGTCATTCTTAATAATCTTCACATTCTTCATCATCAGGTTTCTCATTCAGATCAAAAGGTCTCTCGTTCAAATCAAAAGAATGCATTTTCGTATTGAAATCTACTGTGTCATCTTCCAGAATGTTATTTGGCTTCTCTACCACCATTTCATCATTCTCTCCTTAATTAAAAATATTTACTTCAACATATAAAAAATCCGTAATTTACCTCCATCTTCACATTTTTCATCATCAGGTATCTCATTCAAATCAAAAGAATGCATATTATTATTTGAATTAACAGAATTTCTGTCATCCTCAAGAATTTTATTTGGCTCTTCTACCTCGAGTTGATTTTTCTCATTTTCGGCATCATTGGATTCTCCCTCTCCTTCATTTAGTAGATTTCTTTCCTCAAAATTCTCCTCGCAAACAATTGATAATTTACCTTTATTAGTAAAATCACCAGTTTTTGGATTAACAAAAGAAGTTCCTTCATTATAATCAGATTGAACGTTTTTCTTATTTTGACGGTATTTTCGCTGGTATTCATTCAACTTTCTTTTATTATTTTGGTAATACATTTTCTTGTATTTCTGTATACTTTCCTTATTTTTATGTTGGTGAATTTTCATATATTGAAGTTTTTTCTTAATTATGCTATCTTTATTCCTTTGATAGTAATTTCGATTGAGTTCATTTATCTTTTCTTTATTTTGTTTTTTGTAATTTTTAAGATATTCTTTATTTTTCTGATAATATTCTTTATTATATTCACTTCTGTTAAACTTTTTGTCTTTCTCATTGTTTCTGTCCTTATTTGTAATTTTTAATTTTGGTTTTAAAGTTTCTTTATATTTTTGAGTTTGAGGATTGACCGACGATTCAGCCCCATCATTTAATAGTTCAGTTGCCGAGTAATCCTTCTCAGCAGGTTTACCTAACCTCTTTCGAATAGGAGTAGTGTTAACAGATTCCCATAAAATCAAATTGAAGATTAAAACAATTAAAAAACTAACAAGTTTCATATTAAACATTTTTAAAATTTTAATAAAAATTAAAGATAAATGATAAAATTAATTTAAAAATTGCATTTAAATAAACAAAAATTTGTGCGCATGCATAAAAGGGCAGGCAATAAATTTAGCGAGTCTAAATATTAGGCAATAAAAATAAATATTTAAAAGTGCATTTACACGCACAAATTTTTACATTTCTTAATATAAAAATAAATAAAATTTATTGACAGGATGTTATGTCGAAATAAAGTAAAGCAGCTGGGCTATAGCTATTTCTCTCCTTTAGCTAGTGCAAAAGGTTAATCGGCGGCTAGGAGCGAACCAGCATCTTCAGTAGACCGAACTGATGTGTTAGCCATTACACCAAATCAAAAAGTTTTTTTGTCAACGTTTTTTTTATATTTCTGAATTTGAGGATTGACTGATTTCAGCCCCATATCATTTAATATTTCAGTTGCCATGTAATCCTTTTATACATATCTAAACAATTTTAGTTGGAGTAGTTAAATGATATTCATTGGTGTTCACTAGAGACTCGAAATATCTGACAGCCAAATTACAAAATCTCAGAGTGCAATTACACAACCATATTTATTTTTAAATATCAAAATTTAATAAAATTCATTGAAAGAAAAGTGCAATGTCGAAATAAAACGGCAAAAATTTTTTTATTGAATAAATTATTGTGAGAAATAAAAAATAAGAGATATGACAGGGACAATATCTCGGAAAAAAATATGAGAGAGAGAGATTTCGAAATCTTGCTTCCCATCAACCCAACCTTTTCCTTTCTCTAGTTCTTAGGGTGCTGTACAAATGTGTCGGCTTAATTTTTGATTTAGTCCTAGGCCAAAAATCTGGATATCATAAAATAAAAAAATTTACAAATTGTTTGGGTAAATTGTCAAAAATAGTTAATTTAAAAAATCCCATAATATTTCCTCAAATCCCTGTATAACTCCTTAATAGCCAGATATCAAGTAGTGTCCCTAAATCCCTCAATATCTCCCCCAACCCTCAATTCCTCAAATATTAACCGCAAATATCCCTATTAATTTTATATGATTGACTGGCGAATATATTGATCATCTTCTTTTTAAACAGAATAATTTTCCGCCTTACAGTTTTATTTGCCGCCTTACAGTTTTATATTCAGTTTTGGAAATAAAAATTTTATTTCCGATTTCAAAATTATTACTAAAACAATTTTTGATTTCCTATTCCCGACCTTTTGGCCATTACAGATTTCAGACAGTTCCAATTTCCGACACCTTCGTTATTTCCAACCCACCTCTGATTGTTAGTACAAAATAAATTAATTAGTTTATATTATGTATTATAACTTTTTGATTTTAAAACAAAACAATATGACAAATAAAAATGTATATTTCACCGGTTATTCAATGAGTAATCTATTTTAATTTTATCATTTTAATAACTTTTTCCATTATTTTAAATACACTGGGGTCTAGAGCAACATCTGAAAAGTTTTGAAAATATTTTTTAGATATCCAAACTTACACTTTGTGCCGGTAGCTTTCACTCCATACACAATAAGGAAAATCAACAAATGTACAGCTATTGATAGCCGTGCATTGTAAAGGCAAATTGGTATAGCCGGGATACATTTTTGCTTGACCTTTAAATTGGGAATTATTTTCTAGTATTGTTATAGTAAGCCGAGAAAAGGACAGGGCCTGAATAGGACAATAGATGAGAGCATACCCGTTGCTACTTTGGATAATAACCGGGTTAGTCCACGACCCGACGGGGATAAAATTTTTGGGGAAAGGAGCGTCGAGACGTGGACTATTGGGCCAATAAATCATCTCAGGCGAGATGGTTGTCAGAGATTTACCCTAGTTGATACATTCATCAAGATCGACATTAAAGATTAGGCCTAGCCAGTTGGTCATTAAAATGTCTATTTTCTGAAAATGCCTTATAGTATGTATCTCAGGGCCCCTATGGATATTATTAATTCATTTCTTCACTAGACTTACCATAAATAGGATTCTCTGGACTTATTCCACAACAAATATACTGTCCTCCCTTGTAGAGGTTATTATACTCGCAATGATAGCCCGGGGAGCATTTCTTGTACACACAGTCTATTGGGATGCCTCCACTCACTTCTACATCTGCACTTGGATTTCGACACTTTGCTAAATTAAAATTCGACATTTTGACATTTTTTGAGTCAAAAAACTAACGAAAAGATAGCTGAGCCCCTCTCGGGTCCCAAACAAAAGGATAACCACCTCCAACATTTGTCCCTATAAAATAACAAGCAAAATTCCTGCAAATCAAAGGGTGGTCGCCGGGGCGAGTCCTACACTGCAAATCATACATACATCGTTCTCCGACTCCTACAAGTGGCAAACACTGGCCATTAAGCATTATATGGTTCGGAGGGCACAGAACTATAGAAAAATAATTTAAGCAGGTTTTATCAATATATCATAAAATTAAATTCTAGCTCAATCAAACCCATCATCACTCAACCAAAGGACTCATTTTCTCCTCTGGGGTATTAATATTTCAACCTATCCATGGGTTGTGGAATTACCCGAGTTTTGACATTTGAACGTGCAGTAGAGCACTTGGGAGATAGGAATTATTGTTTCAACCCACTCCTAATTTTTAAGAGGCTGGGGAATTAATCGAGATAATACACTATATGGATTAGCCAAAATTGCTTATCATGGATTTCGAAGCTTTTTCATAGCACCTAAAGGAAATAAGAGGGAAGTGTTTACAGAGAGAATTGTTTTTCGTTTTGCATAATATTTAAAAATTGAATTTTACTTTTATTTATAATAAAATACCTATACGCAAAACTACTCGAGGATTAGGAAATTGGATATATATTGTTGAATGAGGATTAGCTAATCATCATAAATTCCAACTAATTTGGGTGTTTCAATTCAAAATGTTTTTTGGTAATATTTAAAATCTGTCGGTAAACTGTAATTTCGGACCATATCCATTCCATTAAAATCTATTTTCATAAAAAAATTAATGAAATGCGACCATAACAAGGTACGTGACAATGTTTTGTTAAATAAAATAAGTTAGTGAGATAATTTCAGTTATGTCCTCTCTAAATTAATTAAAAAAATGTATAATTACCATTTGGAATATTCGGATCATTGATACACTGCTTTCCGTTGTATAACTGTCCCGGTGGGCAAACACAACGCTTCTGGAAGCAAATACTTCCAAGATAATTGCATTGTTTGCCTTTATAGTTCAATTTAAAATTTAAAAAATTATCAAAATAAACTGTATTCGCAGAACCCTCCATATGCTACATAGTTGTAACAGTGTCCATTAATGGAAACCTGACCCATCGCACACCCAGCATTTGGACGTGGATCATCTGGGAAATTTGGAAAATAAGGATAAGAATATTAGAATTATATTTTTATTAAAGGTAAATTTGTTTCTATTAAAAATAATTTTTTTTGAAAACAAATTAAAATTTGTCAAAATTTTAAATTATAATCGGGAAAAGGGCTATGAACTGTCTTCACCTCAAAAATTATAGGATAGAATTGCAGAACCAAATGTGCTTCTAAAAATTTGGATTTATAAAATTTGTTCATAAATTTTTTCAAAGCATAAATTTAAAATTGTTAATCCTCTATCATAATTAAAAATTATTTTAGAACACACTTATTTACAGGGGCCGTGCACAGCCCCCTTCCCAAAAATTAGTTTAATCACCTAAACCACTTAACCCTACCCGTTATGCTCAGAATTAATTTTATAAAATTTTAAATTGAATAAAATATATTGAGTAAAATATTTAAGGTTGCTTCACAATTTGCAAACTTAAATAAAACTTACACACTCCTTGTGGAAGACAGTCCTCTCCATTATAATTAAATCCTATACGACAGTAACACAAATCTTTGCGACACTCAGAGTTGGTAAATTTACATTGGGAGTTTTGTGTGCATGCAGAGCCATAGCCAGATGGAGAAGCTTTAAATAAGATTAGTTTTAGATTTTATTAATAATTAAGTTCCCTCCATAACAGTTAGGCCTAAACGAATTTCAAATAGCAAAAGACGGAAGAAAACGTGAAAAATGAAAAAGAGGAAGGCCGAAAGCAAAAAAATCCCGAATCAGCAGTAGATGGAACGGAAGAGATCCCATTTCTTCTACATAACTTTGTAAGGATAATGGAAGAAAGGCAAGAAAGAGAAAATTTTTCTAGTACATATTGGGGAATTATAGGCAAAACCAAAACTTTTAAAATCCACGACTCAGTATGTATTTACAGGGGCTACTTATAACCCCCTTCCCAAAAATTTCACTATGCCGATATACCTCTAATTTAGGAAAATTTATTTTAATTATAGTTGTATAATTAATATAAATTATATTAAGTAAAACAAAAAATATTATAAAAAAAATATATTAGGTATAAAAAATATAAAATATGTATATTAAAAGATATTATATTAGGAAATTTCATCAGATGGCTTGTTGGTTTCATCAGATTCTTCAGTTAACGAAAACGAACCAACAAACAGAACCGAAAACCTATTCTTGAGTCTGTTTGAAAAGTCTCTTGCTTTTAAAATTCTTGATTTTAAAGAGTTTAAAATTTCGATATTTTTGAAATTTTTCTGATTTCCGATATTCGGAAAAAATATTTACAACGAAACAGCCCTTATATACATGTATTTTTCGAGATTTCTAATGCGTATCCTTTAAGAATCCCAAAAATTTTTTTAAAAATTACTAACGATTTTTTGCAGCGCAACAATGCCCTTGAAAACAGAAAAAGCCGGGTGCCAACTCCTGACAGTTTTGGTCTGTTGTACACCCCACCCCGTTAAACAAAGAAATTTGGTTTGGACCGCATTGGGAATTTGTTGAAGCTAAGCCGATGACTAGTTGAGCAAATAAATTTGAAATTTTAAATGATAGAAGAAAACAAAATAAAAATGGAAGAGAATCTAATAATGGAGGCATATCTGAATTAAAATTTATAAATTTTACTAGAAAAGTTTAAGAGAATAAGCAATAATACGAGTATATTTGAAATTAAACCTATGCAGTTTAAAAACGTCATATTAAATTTGCAGGGGCGTGCACCTCCCCCTTCCCAAAAATTTTTTGAGTTTCCAATTACAAAAAATACCCTACATTTCTAATTCAAAATTAATAGTTATTCAAATATACATAAATGTATTAATTAATATTAAGTAAACGATTTTTTGTACAATTATCCCCTAACTTAAATCTAAACAATTTTTTGAGCGTTCTAGCCCTCTAGAATTCCGGACACAAACCATATGTTCATGGGTTGAGAATGTCGGGTCGTGTTACATACCAAAAAAGTCCGCGTAACGGTGTCGGATGAGTCAGTTAAAAATTTTAATTCAACAGGACAAGATTTTCTTTTTTCATTTTTTAGCGTCGCAGGTAGTGTTGTCGGTTTCACCAGATGCATCGGTTAACCGATACCGACACCCTAGTAGCAAGCGAAATCTTTGAGTAAATTTGATTAATTAAAAAAATTAAAAAATTTTCAGGAAAATAATTTTTTCATTGACGCGCAGACTGACTTTTAACGATTATCACTCGTCATTCAATGCGCAATACTTTCCCTTTTCTTTATTTTTTAAGAGAAGAAGAAAGGGGATCAGCAGCAAGATATTAATTGTTTGCTTAAATCATAAGTATGAAATCCTACTCTTTCTTTTTATTTTTGTTTTTTATTTTTTTTTGTTTTTATTTCAGGAAAATTCAATAGTTAATAAACAAAAAAAAATTTTTTTTTAATTTTTTAAGTTCAATATTTAAAAAATTTTTTCCATATTTGCAGCAGAGATGGGACTAGAGACGGACAAACGGCAAAATCAAATAAAATTTGATCAAATATTTGTTTGGTCCGATCTCTAGATGGGACGGATTCAGTAAAAAGTCAGGCCAGGTTTCGTGTTCGAGTGCCCCCAAGTTTCCTCTTATATGAGGTTTCCGGCTGAAAAAGGCATTGTTTGTCTTTCATTTTTTCCCAAATTTATATGCTACAATGTACGTCAAAAAAAGATTAAATGGGTCGTTTTGGCTTATAAAAATTAAATAACTAAATTCTTTCATTTCCTTATATTTTTACTTAATATATTATAATTGAGTTAATATTTTATTTAAATAAAAAATAGAAAGGCAGTTTAACTAAACCGTTTTAATAAAAATTTTTGGAGATGGGGGTTATAGCCAAACCCCTTTTAAAATACTGGCACAGTCTGATATATTTTTCTTAATTCAAGTCAAAGAATTAAATTTTACGTTAAAATTTTCTTGGATGAATCTAAATACAAATTTATTTCTTCTCTCAAAAATAAATATTGTTCGAATTTTGGTTAGATTGTTTCAGATATTTAAAAATTTTTTCATAAGTTTAGATATTTTTTAAAATAAATTATTTAAATCTTTAATTTACTTCAATCTTCATCAATCAATCATCCAAATCGGTCAATACATTTTAATCAAAAAATAATTTAAAAAACATGCCGATACTTTTCATTTTTTTTCTAAAATTCAGCTTTACTTTAGTGACTGCGTCCCATGTAATTTTAAGTGCCCCATGGGCCATCTGAGCAGCGTCCCATCTGAGTTTTGAGCGTCCCATAAGAGCATCTGTTAAACCAAAATCATGGAGGACATGTCTTCACTTAAATTACATAGCTCTAGCATTATTGCACTTTTACATATATGTACATTCATTGCAAAACACAATTTACACAATATATTATATTCCTTTAATTATTTCATTTAAATAAATTTATTTTAAATTTCATAATTTTTCTCTAATTTTTAGATAAATCCTTAAATTTTGTTTAGGATGAAGCTTGCTAGTTTTTTAATCGTTTTAATCTTCAATTGGATATTATGGACATTTGTTAAAACTATTCCAATTCGAAAAGGTTTAGCTAAACAAGTCGAAAAGGATCTCATTGCAAAGGAATTTGCTAAAATATTAAATGATGGTGCTGAATCGTCGGTCAATCCTCAAATTCAAAAACATGAAGAAAATTTAACAAAAAAGGACACAGATGGAGAGAAAAAAGTGTTTAACAAAAGAGAATATCATCAAGAATATTACCAAAAAAATAAAGAAAAGTATCGTGAAAATTGTCGAAATTACTATGAAAAGAATAAAGAAAAGGTGCTTGAACGTAGACGAAATTACCGAGAACAAAATAAGGAAAAGATAAAGGAATATAGCCGTAATTACTCTAAAATTCATAAAAATAAGCAGAAAAAAGATGGGAAAATTTACTACCAAAAAAATAGGGAGACGTTACTGGAAAAACAAAAAATATATAAAGAAAATAATAAAGAAAAGTGTAAAGAATACATGCGAAAATATTACCGAAAAAAGAAAAACGTGCAGTTTGACAATAATGAAGGAACTTCTAATGTTAATCCACAGACGGGTGATTTTGGGAATAAAGGCAAATTACCAATTGTTTGCGAGGAGGAAGGGAATTCTAGTCAAGGGGAGGACGAATGCAATAATTGTGAGGAAGAGCAAAATCATATTGAAGTAGAAGAGGCGAATATAATTATTGAAGACGGCACAAATAATGTAGATGCGAACAAGAAAATTCATTCTTTTGATCTGAACCAGATACATGAGCAAAATCAAATCGAGGAAGAAGAGCCAAATTATATTTTTGATAATGACACAATAGATTTAAATAAGAAAATTCATCCTTTTGATCTGAACGAGAAACATGAGGTTGAAGAATGAGAAGATTAAGAGAACGATATTGGATTTTTTGATTTTTGAATTTCGATATGGATTATAAAGTTTTTGTTATCTTGAAAAAATAGTTAGATTTAAAAAGTTTTTTTGTCATCATATTTTTGACCTAGGTCCGAATCAAAAATTGAGCCGACAAGTACATATGTACCTACAAACTAAAGTGCCTACATACAAGAGATCGGAAATTTCGAAAAGCCTGGACCTATTCTTGGACTCTGGGTACAGGAAAAACCCAGGACTTTGTCCAGCCCTGGCAAATCTCTACTAAAAACTAAAAAAAGAAAAAGGGAGGGTTGATGAGAAGCAAGATTTCGAAAATCTCTCTCTCATGAATATCGATCTTGATAACATAGATTTTTGTCTGAGATTTGCTTTCGTCAAATCTCTATTTTCTATTTTTAATTTTTCTTTCTCACAATAATTTATTTAAGAAATTTTTTGCTGTTTTATTTCGACATTGCACTAATCTTTCAATGAATTTTATGTGTTTTGTAAAGATGATTGTGAAATTTTGTAAAATGTCTGTCAGATAGTTCGACGTTCTAACAATCGCCATACTATTTGCATCATTTGACTACTCCCTAAAAAGCTTAGCTAAACATGCTGAAAAGGACTACACTGGAACTGAAGTATTAAATCATGGGGCTGAATCGCCGGTCTGATTTTAGGATTTTAAGGAAAAATATGCAAAACGCAAAAAATAATATTGTCAAATATTTTCTCTGAAAAAAAGTTTTATAAGTTAAAATGTAAATTAATAGGGAAATGGAAATTTATCAGAAAAAAATTAAATATACTCCATTTGGGACTAGATTATAAAATATTTTTGTAATTAACTAAATAACTTAGTATTTGATTACAAAATATCATAACTTTAAAAATCAAAAAATTAAAAAATTAAATAAAAAAATTAAAAATGGGGAACTGTTCTTAATAATCTTCCAATTCTTCATCATCGGGCATCTCGTTAAGATCAAAAGAGCAAATTTTCTTGTTTAATTCTTTATTATTTGTGTCATCTTCAGGAATTTTATTTGGCTCTTCTACCTCGATTTGATTTTCCCGATCCTCGCCATTATTGCTTTCTTCCTTTTCTTGATTAATAAAATTCCCTTCATCCTCGCAAATTGGTAATTTATCTTTATTAATAAAATCACCAGTCTGTGGATTAACAAATGAAGTTCCTTCATTATTTTCAGATTGAACGTTTTTCTTATTTTGTCGGTATTTTCTCATGTATTCATTCTCCTTTTCTTTATTATTTTGGTAATAAATTTTTCGTCGATTCTTAAACTTTTCCTTATTTTTTTGGTAGTAAACTCGCTTAGAATTATTATTTTTTTCCTTATTCTTTATATTGTATTTTCGCTTTTGCTCAGCTATCTTTTCTTTATTTTGTTTCCGATAATTTCGACTTTTTTCAATCAACCTTTCTTTATTTTTTTGATAATATTCTTTATAATATTCACTATTGTTATACACTTTGCCTTCGTTGATTAGAGGATTGACCGACGATTCAGCCCCATCGTTTAATATTTTATCAGTTGACTGGTAATCCTTTTCAACTTGTCTGGCTAAATTTTTTCGAATTGGAGCAGTTTTGACAAATGCCCATAATATCGAACAGATTAAAACGATTAAAAAGCTAGTAAATTTCATCTTATACAAGTTTTAAAATTTATTTAAAAATTAACGGAAAATGATAAAATTTAATTTAAAGAATAAATTTATAAAATGAAAAATTGAGAGGAATATAAGGGCATTATGTAAATCATATTTTGTAATAGATGTATTTATTGATATAGTCGATTTATAAATTGCAATAAAGCAGGCAGACAATTTACGAAAGGGTAATTTCACAACCTTATACTTTTTAATTAGGAAAAACAAGTAAAATTCATTGAAAAGAAAGTGCATAATCATAAAAACAAATTACATAATAATCAAAAAATCAAAACCCTTAAATCTTTTTATATTAAAAAATTCTGGATTTGGAATTTTAAGTTAATTTTGTTCATTTATTTCTATTTCAAATGAAATTTTTTATTCCAAAATTAAATTTTAACAATGGAAACCCAAGAAACACAGCAATTTTAGGGTGCACTAATAGGTTGACACTTTATTGACAAAGGAGGAAAAGCCACATTTTTCCAGCAAAATTTTATTTTTTTCATATTTCCTTCTTTATTTCCAATAATACGTTTTTGATTACCATTTTTACATTTTAGAAGATAATATATATTTAAAACCTCAAAATCAAATTTCACGATTTATATTTTACCATATTTATAATAGATTTAGTTTTAATTTTTAAAATAACTGCATCATTAAGATTATTAGCAAAAATAATATTATAAATAATATAAATTCATATTTTAAATAATTGTTTCCTTCTCCCTAAATTAAAAATTTTAAAACGTTATCAGAAAATTCTTATTTATACGTTCTTTTGGCTTAGAATATATGCTAGATCGCATACAGATTGATGTATTAATATGAACAATTACTCACTTCCACCCACTCAATATTAGAGATATTAATAACACAATAGATTTAAATAGGAAAATTCATCCTTTTGATTTGAACAAGATCCTGATGATGAAGAATATGATAATTATTAAGAATGACGGCTTATCTCATGTTAATGAGTTCTAGTTGTATTTTTCTAGTTTTTTCGAGTTTGCATTAATCAACCAGGTGAATTTTTAAATCCCCTTCCAAAAACTATCCTATCTTGAGCAAATTATTGATAATTTATAGCTATTTTACTCGAATTAAGTCTAAATTTTATTAATATATTAAATTTTATCATGTAAAATGTAAGAAAATTATTAAAATATATTGGGGGATTTCATGAGATTTACACTAACAATTTGTATGTAAATTTTTATTTTTTTGTTATCCAGATTTTTGGCCTAGGATTGAATCAGTATTTAAGCCGATACAAGCAATATACCCTAAGAACTAGAGAAAGAAAAAGCAGAGTTGATGACATTGTAATTTCTGATTTAATTTGTTTTAAAAATTACGGTATATTTTGGATAATTTTTCAAGTATTAGTAAAAAGTTTTATGCTTGTTCATCGACTATAAACTAAATTTTTTTAATATAATCTTTATTTTAATTATAATCTTCCGTTCTTTTTAATATTTTTTATTCTTCTTCTTCAGGTATCTCGTTCAGATCAAAAGAAAAATTCTTATTTACATCTTTAGTCTTTATGATATCTTCAAGAACTTTATTTATATCGTCTATCTCGATTTGATTTTCTCGATCCTCGCCATTATTGCATTCTTCCACTTCTTGATCAAAAAGATTTCCATCCATCTCGCAAACAATTGGTAATTTACCTTTATTAGTGAAATCATCAGTTTGTGAATTAACAAATGAAGTCTCTTCATTATTATCAAATTGAACGTTTTTCTTTTTTTGTCGGTATTTTCTCATGTATTCATTCTCCTTTTCTTTATTATTTTGGTAATAAATTTTTCTTTGGTTTTTTAACTTTTCCTTATTTTTTTGGTAGTAAATACTTGTAGCCTGACTGTATTTTTCTTTATTCCTTTTATAGTAATTTTGCAGATTCTCACATATCTTTTCTCTATTCCGTTCTCGGTAATTTCGAAAATATTCTTTATTCTTAGCATAGTAATTTTTATTTTTTTCAATTAACTTTTCTTTATTTTTTTGATAATATTCTTTATTATATTCTCCTTTGTTAAGCACTTTGCCTTTTCCTTTATCTGTGTCCTTTTTTGCAATTTTTAATTTTGGGTTTAACGTTTTTTTATATTTTTGAATTTGAGGATTGACATAAGATTCAGCCACGTCATTTAATATTTTATTAACATCCTTTGCCGTGTAATCCTTTTCAACATGTCTAGCTAAACTTTTTCGAATTGGAGCCGTTTTAACAAATGCCCATAATACCCAATTGAAGAACAAAACGGCTATGAAACTAGCAAATTTCATCCTAAAAAATTTAAAATTTATTTAAAAATTAGCGAAAAATTTTTAAAATTGAAAATATAAAATGAAATATTGTGAGGAAAATAAGGGAATTATGTAGATTATTTTTTGAATTTGATGTATTTATGATATCGTCAATGTATAAAAGGGCAATAAAGCAGGCTGGCAAACACGGTTACGAATTAAGGTTACGAAAATATAGGAATAAATAATGAATTACGAAAATAAAAAATAAAAATTACGAAAAAATATTATTGCAAAAAAACATTTTGTAATTTACATTAAATTTTTGGTGGAAAAGAGAAAGAAATATTTCTCCCACACTTGCTTTTGTTGATAGGGGTTGAGTGGTTTAGAAGGCAGCTTCGATCACCATGTATATAAGAGCAAATTAAGAGCAAATTACATAATAAGTAACAGAAACTCTAAACACTCGAATTTTTTAAATTAAAAAATTTTCGATCTAGAAAACATTTTATCAATATGGCTGGGCAAAACGTGCAAATGCTGTTTTGGTTGCACCAGGGAAGGAAACATCGGCTATGTACAAAGATTTGGTAGTTTTTTTGGCACCAATCGATAAAGGGACATCGACTTTCTATTCAGTTGGGTACTGGTTATTTTTGCAAAATGACTTCTCTCAAAAACCCGAGAAATTTCTCGACCCGAGAGCCGAGACCGAGAGTCTCGAACATCACTAATAAACAACTCTTACTTTTACTAAATACCTTACTTGTATTAAAAATTTAACCTAGTAAAATTATTCTAGACTTGCTTTGCCTTTTAAATAAAGTTGTTTTAATAGAAAAGACATGTATTTTTAATTTGGATAAATTAACCTGAAAAGTTTAAGAGAAAATCTAAGCTAAAACCGGGTCAAACTAAAAGCCAAACACTCAAATCCTTTAAAATATTTGACGGTTTTGAGTTTTGAAATAATTATTAAGTAATTTGCTTGTATGATTATGTACTTTCCTTTCAATGAATTTTATTTGTTTTTTTAAACTTAAAAAGTACAAGGTTGTGAATTTACCCTTTTGTAATTTGCCTGTCTGCTTTATTGCACTTTTATACATAAACGATATTATAAATAGATCAAATTCAAAAAATAATTTACCTAATGCACTTATTTTCCTCAGCATTTTTCAATTTATAAATTTATTTTTAAATTAAATTTTATTATTCTCCATTGATTTTTAAATAAATTTAAAATTTGTTTAGGATGAAACTTGAAAGTTTTTTAATCTTTCTTATCTTCAGTTTGATTATATGGACATTTATCAAAACAACTCCAATTCAAAAAAGTTTAGCCAGACATGTTGAAAAGGATCACACGTCAAATGATGTTAATAAAACATTGAATGATGGGGCTGAATCGTCGGTCAATCCTCAAATTCAAAAATATAAAGAAACGTTAAAACCAAAATTAAAAATTGCAAAAAAGGACACAGATAAAGGAGAAGGCAAAGTGTTTAACAAAATGGAATATAGTAAAGAATATTTTCAGAAAAATGAAGAAATGATAAACGACAATCAGCGAAACTACGATATAACAAATACAGGAAAAAGGAGGCAATATAATAGTATTTACTACGAAAAAAATAAGGAAAAGTTTGAGCATCGAAATAGAATTTATTACCAAAATAATAAAGAAAAGTTGAAAGAAAACCAACGTAAATACTATCAAAAAAAGAAAAACGCTCAATCTGATAAGAATGAAGGAACTTCATTTATTAATTCACAAACTGATGATCTTACTAATTTAGTTAATTTGTCAATTGTTTGCGAGGAGCAAGGAAATCTTTTAAATCAACGGGAGGTAGAAGGCAAAAATGGTGAACAAAATCAAATCGATGTAGAAGATCCAAATAAGATTCATGGAGATGACATGATAGCTAGACAAGTTGAAAAGGATTACACGTCAAATGATGTTAATAAAATATTCAACGATGGGGCTGAATCGTCGGTCAATCCTCAAATTCAAAAATATAAAGAAACTTTAAAACCAAATTTGAAAATTACTAAAAATGATACAGACAAAGGAGAAGGCAAAGTGTTTAACAATATTAAATATAATAAAGAATATTTCCAAAAAAATAAAAAAAGGTTGACTGAAAACCAGCGAAAATACCGACAAAAAAAGAAAAATGATCAATCTGTTAATAATGAAGGAACTTCATTTGTTAATCCACAGACTGACAGTTTTATTAATAAAGGTAAATTGCCAATTGTTTGCGAGGAGAATTTTAAGGAAGGAAATCTATTAAATCAAGGAGAGGGAGAATCCAATAATGCCGTAAATGAAAAAAATCAAATCGAAGTAGAAGATTCAAATAAAATCGATTAGGATAACACAAATCAAATAGCAGATTCAATTAAGAAAATGCATCCTTTTGATAAGAACGAGAAACCTAATGATAATGCCTGGAAAATTATTAAAAATAACGGGTTTTTCAGTTTATGCAACCCATTAAATTCTATATTTAAGTTTTCATGATGTGAAACATCGACAATACGATATTAGTCATAAACTATCGCCATGATTGGCAGTCCTATTACTTTCCTTTCCTTATTTTCTTTCTCCATATTCACTTTATTAATTTTCTATAAGAATCAAAGTAATTTTATTAAATAATTTTGTTCTATTTTCTTAAATGATTATTAAAATTTTCATTTGAATAAATAATTTTTTATTGTTTTCTATAGATTTTGGATACATCTATATAAATATTTAAAATAATATTAATTTAAATAACTTTCACTAATTAATTTCCGCTTTTTTCCCTTAGAGTAATTTTACATCTTATCGTTTATTTTATTGTATTTTTGCAATTTCTTATCTTTATTCGATCGAACACAAAAAATAAAATGTAAAAAACAGTAGTTAATGGGTTAATGTAGTTAAAACATTCAAATGCAGCAGAAAAGGCATAATCGCCAGAAGGCGAGAGAAATAGTCCGAGGGAATGGCGGTTCGTCAACTCAACATATACCGTGGTTAATAATCTAAAGGAAGAGTGATAGACCTTTGAATCTGTTAAAATAAAATTTATTTACATTTAATTATTAAATATATTTTTTCTAATTTTATTTTGATTGACATTTATTTAAATATTTTACATCGTTTTCCAACTTTTCCAACTTAATATATTAAACTCTTTCTCTTTAAAAATGACCTTTTTTTATTTATTTATTTTAAAATAATCAATTCTCTTCCTTTCAACTATTTAAACACTTCCCCTCAGCTTATATATATAAAAATATAAATTATATGTTTAAACGTTGTTTTCTTTGTCTTTCCCATTCCTTATCTAAAACATATATTTTAATCAAATCACCGCCCTTCTTGTATGACTAATAAGCACCTCTTGCATTTTACTCAATACCTTACTTGTATTCAAAATTTAACGTAGTAATATTATTCCAAACTATCTTTGCCTTTTAAATAAACTTGTTTTAAAAGAAAAGACTTGTATTTAGAATTTGGATAAATGATCGAGAAAAGTTACAGCGAAAATCTAAGCGAAAACCGCGTCAGACTAAAATCAAATACTCAAATCATTTAAAAATCTTGACGATTTTGAGTTTTGAAATAATTATTAAGTAATTTGATTTTATTATTATGCACTTTCATTTCAATGAATTTTACTTGTTTTTTCAGACTTAAAAAGTGCAAGGTTGTGAAAGTACCCTTTGTAATTTGCCTGCGTGCTTTCTTGCACTTTTATACATAGACGATTTCATAAAAAGATCAAATACAAAAAATAATTTACATAATGCCCTTTTTTCCTCTCAATTTTCCATTTTATAAATTCATTTTTAAATTAAATTTTTCTTGTTAATTTTCAACTAAATTTTAAAATTTGTTAGGATGAAACTTACTAGCTTTTTAATCGTTTTTATCTTCAATTTGATGTTATGGACATTTGTTAAAACTGCTCCAATTCGAAAAGGGTTAGGTAGCCTTGTTGAAAAGGATTGCACGGCAAAGGATCATTCTAAAATATTAAATGTGGAGGCTGAATCGTCGGTTAATCCTCAAATTCAAAAATATAAAGAAACGTTGAAACCAAAAGTAAAAATTACAAAAAAGGTTACAGATAAAGGAAAAAACAAAGTGTTTAACAAAAGAGAATATTATAAAGAATATTACCAAAAAAATAAAGAAAAGATAGATGAGAATCAGCGAAACTACGATATAAAGAATAAAAGAAAGAAGAGTCAACATATGAGTATTTACTACCAAAAAAATAAGGAAAAGTTTGAGAATCGAAATAAAATTTATTACCAAAATAATAAAGAAAAGTTGCAAGAATACCAACGTAAATACCGTCAAAAAAAGAAAAACAATCAATCTGATAATAATGAAGGAACTTCATTTGTTAATCCAGAGACTGATGATTTTACTAATAAAGGTAAATTACCCGTTGATTGCGAGGAGGAAGGAAATCTTTTTAATCAAGTGGAAGAAGAACGCAATAATGGCGAGGATGATCAAAATAAAAACGAAGTGGAAGAACCGAATAAATTTCTTAGAGATGAAACAAATGACGGGGCTGAATCGTCGGTTAATACTCAAAAGCATAAATATAAAGAAACTTTAACAAAAAGGGACACAGATAATGGAAAAGAAAAAGTGTTTAACAAAAGTGAATATGATAAAGAATATTATCAAAAAAATAAAGAAAGGTTGATTGAGAAAAGTCGAAATTACCGGAAACAAAATAAAGAAAAGATAATTGAGCAAAAGCGAAACTACAATATAAAGAATAAAGAAAAAATTAGTCAATCAACGAAAATTTACCGTCAAAAAAATAAGGAAAAGTTAAAAAATCAAGGAAAAATTTATTATCAAAATAATAAAGAAAAGGAGAATGAATACATGAGAAAATACCGTCTGAAAAAGAAAAACATTCAATCTGTTAATAATGAAGGAACTTCATTTGTTACTCCACAGACCGGTGATTTTACTAATTTAGTTAAATTATCAATTGTTTGCGAGGAGGAAGGAAATCTTTTAAATCAGGGAGATGAAGAATGCAATAATGTAGAAGAAAATCAAATCGAGGTAGATCTTGAAGATTATACAAATCAAGTAGATTTAAGTAAGAAAATTCTTCCTTTTGATCTGAACGAGGAACCTGAGGATGGAAATGGCGAAGTTCTTGGAAATGGCATAAATAATGTAGATTCGAATGAGAGAAATCTCTTTGATTTGAACGATAAACCTGAGAACGAAGAAGTAAAAGATTATTAAGATATTGGATTTCATATTGGAAAAATGGCTCACTCCGTTTTGCCGCTTGATTTTATATGTATTTCTTAAATAAATAAATAAAATTAAATGTTTTTATTTTTTTGTTGGTTAAATTCCTAGTATATTGACGAAAATCGTGAATTCGAAATACTTGGGAATTAACGATTCACGAAAATTTTAAATTCCCGATTCGATGACCTTTCAAATCCTACCCGAAAAGATGTTAAAAGTTTATCATTAAAGATGAAAAAGTAAATATTCATTGAATGTAAATTATATGTGTAATATTTTTTATATTTTTTTAAAATATTTTTTATGGTTCTTTTTAATAATCTCCCATTTCTTCATCTTTAGGCTTCTCGTTCAGATCAAAAGGATGAATTTTTTTATTTAGATCTGCAGTGTCATCGTCAAGAATTTTATTTGGCTCTTCTACCTCGATTTGATTTTGCCCATCTTTGTCATTATTGCATCCTTTCTTCTCTTGATTAAAAAGATTTCCTTCCTCCTCGCAAACAATAGATAATTTAACTAAATTAGTAAAATCACCAGTTTGTGGATTAACAAATGAAGTTCCTTCATTATTATCAGATTGAACGTTTTTCTTATTTTGTCGCCATTTTCGCCTGTATTCATTCAACTTTTCTTTGTTATTTTGGTAATATATTCTCCTCTTTTTATTCATATTTTCATTATTATTTTGGCGGTAAAATTTCATATATTTATTCCTTTCTTTGTTTATATGTTCCTTGTTAATTTTTTTGTAATTTCGATTATATTCAGACAATCTTTGTCTATTTTTTTGACGGTACGTTTTCATATATTCACTTTTGTTCGACACTTTGTTTCCTCCATTATCTGTGTCCTTTTCTGTATTTTTTAATTTTGGTTTCAATGTTTCCCTATATTTTTGAATTTGAGGGTCGGCTGAAGATTCAGCCCCATCATTTAATATTTTCGAATGATCCTTTGCCGTATAATCCTTTTCAACACCTTTTTCAGGTGTACTAATAATAGATGTCCATAATATCCAATTGAGCATTAAAACGGTTACGAAACTTGAAAGTTTCATCCTAAATAAATTTTAAAACTTTTTAAATTAATGAAAAATAGGTACAATTTGGACTAAAAGATCTACTTTTTAGAATAAATTAAAAATAAAGAGAAGAAAATTATTAAGAAAAGTACGAAAAATAATAAAATTTAATTAAAAATTGAATTTATATAAATAAGCATATGAGAAGGATTTGTACATATAAGGACATCGTCTAATTATTTTGTATTTGACGTATAAAAGTTCAATTGGAAATATTAGACAAACAAATTAAGAAATCTCAAAGTGCATTCATTTTTAAACTCATACTTCCTGTGTACCGATTGAGCCCTAATTTTTTCTATTATTGGTTATTCTATAAATATTAGGATTCTAGAGTTTCAAACTCAAATCCTTCTTCTACTCCTACTCTCCTTCTACACCTACTCAACTTCTCAAAATCCTAATATTTATAGAATATCTACTAATTGAAAAAATTAGAGCTCAATCGGTACAGAGGAAGTATGAATATGGGAAGGGTATGTAGAAGGACATCATTTAATTATTTTGTATTTGATGTATAAAAGGTCAATAAGGCAAGAGTTTTGAAATATTAGACAAACAAATTAAGAAATCTCAAAGTGCAATCATTTTTAAATTTATAAACATAAAAACAAGTAAAATTCATTGAAAGGAAAGTGCGCAGACAAAAAACTTTTTAAAAGTATATAATTATTTTCAAGGTTAGTTTGGGGTTGTACCATATGTACCATAACTCTGGTTGAGTATGGTCTTCTATTCACAAAAAAATATATGAATAAGTTAATCTATCGCGAATAGGGGCATTGGTACACAAGCTGCGTTTGGTTCCAATTGCATAAGTAGTACCTCACGGCATAAGTCATAAACACAAATGAAGTTTATACAAAACCTATAATCAAACAAACAAATACCCAAAAAGCACAACAACAAACAAAAGTAAACTAACCCTGACTTAACTAACATTTTTAATAGTGATTGAAAATTGACTAACTTCCAGTTACAATTGAAAACTGACAGAGGAAAAAACTTGACAACGCCACATGATGATTTGGTCGGGTAGAAAACCCATTATATGGATTAAAAAAATTTAAAAAATCCGTTATATTATTAAGATCAAAACCCATTATATACATGTTTAAAAGCTTCCAAAAAATTGGAAATTTATCATTATATATTAAAAAATGAATAATCGGTGGAAAGAATGTTTATTATGAATAAATTAATTTCAGGAAAATGAAAGAAAAAAGAATTTATGATATTTCATTATTGTGTCATGGACTGGAATTCCTTTTATTAATCTTCCCCATTTCCATCTTCAGGTTCCACGTTCAGATCAAAAGGAAGTATTTTCTTATTCAAATCTATTTGATTTGTGTCATCTTCAAGAATTTTATTCGGCTCTTCAACCTCGATTTGATTTTGCCCATCCTCGCCATTATTGCATTCTTCCTCTCCATGATTTAAAAGATTTCCTTCCTCCTCGCAAACAATTGGTAATTTACCTTTATTATTGAAATCACTAGTCTGTGGATTAATAAATGAGGTCCCTTCATTACTATTAGATTGAACGTTTTTCTTATTTTGTCGGTATTTCCTCATGTATTCATTCAATTTTTCTCTGTTATTCTGGTTATAAATTTTATTGTTTTTCTGTATCCTTTCTTTATTTTTTTGGCGGTAAACTTTCATATATTGTCTTTTTTCTTCCTTATTATTATTCCTTTTATAGTAATTTCCTTTATTTCTTTTATAGTAATTTCGATAATATTCAGCCAAACTTTCTTTATTTTTCTGATAATATTTTTTATTATATTCATTTTTGTTAAACACCTTGTTTCCTCCTCTATCTGTGACCGCTTTCTTATTTTTTAATTTTGGCTTCAACGTTTCTTTAGATTTTTGAATTTGAGGGTCGGCAGACGATTCAGTCCCATCATTTAATATTTTAGCTAGATCCTTTGCCGTATAATCTTTTTCAGCATTTCTAGCTGAACCTTTTTCAGGTGTGCTCATAATAGATGTTAATAATATCCAATTAAGAATTAAAACGGTTAAGAAACTAGCAAGCTTCATCCTATACAAATTTAAAAATTTATTTAAAAATTAAAAGAAAATAGGCACAATTTAGCTTAAAAGATGTACTTTTTAGAATAAATTCAAAAGAAATGAGAAGAAAATTATTAAGCAAAGTGTACCAATAATAATAAAATTTAATTAAAAATTGAATTTATATAAATAAGCGTATGTGAAGGATATAAAAATTTAATTAAAAGGACATCGTCTAATTATTTTGTATTTGATGTATAAAAGGGCAATAAGGCGAGTGCGGAAATATTAGACAAACAAATTAAGAAATCCTCAAAGTGCAATCATTTTTAAATTTCTAAACATAAAAACAAGTAAAATTCATTGAAAGGAAAGTGCGCGACTAAAAAAAACTTTTTTATAAGTATGTAATTATTTTCAAGGTTAGGTTGGGGAAATACTTAAATATTCTTTTGGGAACGGAGTTGTGGAAGGATTTTAGAATAATAATAAATGAATTTTGAATTTTTTCTACTGAATTGAACAAGAAAAACTCAAAAATAGATTTTAAGTTAGCAGCCGTGGAATTGAATACATTCCCCAATATTTCAATAAAAATCCGGAATTTATTCATTATTATCTGATAGATGCCGCAGAGACAATATAAACGGAATTGAAATTGATAATTCTATGTACATATATAGATTTAATATTTGTTTTAAATTTCTATGTTATAAAAATTAATTCGCATAGGAGTTGAAAAATACAAGCGCACGTCCCATTTGAAGCGCACGTCCCAATAGAAGCGCAGTCTACGAGGGGGTTGAAAAATAGAAGCGCATGCGCTTCTATTGGAAAAAATACTGTATTATAATAAATTAAAAACAATTTACGAAAAATAATTTATTTTGAATTAAATAGGAAACAAAAAATATAAATTTTAAATTACATAAAATAAATTTATTTTATGGAATATTAAAAAAGGGTGAGAAAAGGAAGGAAAATTCATTTTTCTTCCAATATTCTTGAAAAGTGAAGGAATGAAGAAAGTGGTGTTGAAAAAGCTAAGCCACTGACAAATAAAAGAAAGAAATAGAGTTATTCGCTTTAAAATGCGGGAACTGTGGCGGTGTGTCCGCGACATAGTTGCGGAAAAATTTTTGAGCAATATTTAATGAATTTTGAATTTTTTCTAATGAAATGAACTATAAAAGCCCTGTAAGTTTTAGGTAAAAACCGGAGAATGTAATACATTCCATATTTCAATAAAAACCCGGACTTATTCATTATAATCTAACTGATCGCTTCTTTTTGTCTGTATACATATTTTTGAAGACGATGATATATTTTTTCGATTTTCTGTACTTTTATAATCTTTCAAATGATTGGGAATTTTTCATTATATATTAAAAAATAATATTCGGTGTAACAAAATGTTTAGTATTAATAAATTATTTTTTATTAAAATAATAGAGCAAATCTTATGATTTTTTCATTATTTGGACTGGAACTCTTTTTATTAATCTTCCTCATTTCCATCCTCAGGTTTCTCGTTCAGATCAAAAGGAAGAATTTTCTTTATTGAATCCATGTGATTTGTATTTGATCCATCTTCAAGAATTTTATTTGGCTCTTCTAACTCAACTTGATTTTGCCTATTTTTGTCTTTATTGCGTTCTTCCTCTCCTTTATTTGGAGTTCCCTCAAAACTCTCCTCGCAAACAATTGGTAATTTACCTTTACCACTAAAATCACCGGTCTGAGGATTAACAAATGAAGTTCCTTCATTATTGTTAGATTGAACGTTTTTCTTATTTTGTCGGTATTTTTGCTTGTATTCATTCAATTTTTTTCTGTTATTTTGTTGATATATTTTCTTGTTTTTCTTTATTTTTTCTTTATTCCTTTCATAGAAATTTCGTTGATTCAGATTTACCTTTTCTTTGTTTTGTTTTTGGTAATTTCGATGATATTCCTTATTTTTTTGATAATATTCTTTATTATATTCACTTCTGTTAACCTTTTTGTCTTTCACATTGTTTCTGTCCTTTTTTGTATTTTTTAATTTTGGATTTAACGTTTCCTCATATTTTTGAATTTGAGGATTGACCGACAATTCAGCCCCATCATTTAATATTTTAGTTGCCGAGTAATCCTTTTCATCAACTCTAGCTAAAGCTTTTCGAATTGGAGTAGTTGTAACATTAATCCATAATATTGTATTGAGGATTGAAACGAGTAAAATTCTAACAAGCTTCATTCTAAACAAATTTATATATATAAAAATTAGTGTAAAATATTAAAATTTAAATAAAACTTTGAGGATTGAACGGCGATTTCAAAGGGAAATTATAAATGAAAATTTGGGAAATCTATAAAAACATCGTTAAAAATAATTTTATAAAAGGGCAATAAGGCTAGAGAGTCAAAATACTGAAAATTGATAAATGCTAAAGTGCAAAAATTAATAATCTCAAAGGGCAATCAAACAACCATTTTTTACATTTAAAAATATAAAAACAAGTAAAATTCATTGAAATGAAAGTGCGCAGACGAAAAAACAAATTACTTAATAATTAAGCAATAATAAAGAATATTTGAATTGTAACAGGCTTCTCCAATTTTCTTTGTAATTTTCAAAATAAATTACAACAAATAATTTTCAAAAAATTATACTAATAAATTACATTAAATTCAGCATTGAAATAGGTATTATATTAAACAAATAATTTTTATTTGTTTTCAATTAATTGACCTTAAAATGATTAATTTGTCATCAATTAATTGGTGTCGAGGCTCGCCTAGACATAAATTCTAATTTGTTTCTAATTATTTTAATTAATAGGATCTCAATATGTTCACGAGCCCCGAGCGACCAAATACTCGATTCCAGAGGAAAGATGACCCAAATTTCAAATACTAAAAATTCCAATTACCATAATTTATTTTTATTTTCGCTTTAAGTATTTTCAATCAATATTAATGTTAATAGAAATCCTTAGACTTTGTTCCTTTTCTCCTTCTCCTTTTGTTTGTAAAATGTTTTGAGAAAGAAGCGGTGTAATAAACATTAAAAGGATCGGGGAGAGAGCACCCGATCGGGGAGTGAGCACCGCTCGAGGTGAAAGGTTGCGTTTAGTCCCCTTATTACACCGCTAGGTAAATTTTTAATTCCATCAACAAAAAAGTGAACGAAAAAAGGGAATAATAAAAAGGATCTCTTCAACATTAATATGACTCATAAATTCTTTTCGCTTTAAAAAATAATTTTTTGACTTAAACATTTTCATTAATAAATAATTTATTTATTTCATTAATTTAAATAGTTTCACTCAAGCTGGTGACGCCCAGCCAAAAAATATCGGAAAAATACATTTCAGTTTAGCCTTAAAATTTTCTTTGCTTAGGATTAATATTTTTGGTGAATTTGCAATTGGTCGAAATTGGTCGGAGAACTAATCTATAACGGGTAGGGGACGATTCGGTATCGCCGATTCAGTATCGCCAATTCAGTATCGCCGATTCAGTATTGGCCGATTCAGTATTTGGGCTTTTTGGCCATAACTTTTTGCTCGATCAATATTGTAAGAATTATTATATATGATTTGATAGGTCTCGGGGTGTCTCATCTTTTTCATAATTGGACTGACATGATCTGATCATTCTATAAAAAGTTATCACTGATAAACGACGTCACAGGCATAAAAAATCGGTTTTCGCGCTGTAACTTTTTTGTGATCATCAGATCTGATCGGGCCAATTATGAAAAAGATGTCGAATCTCGAGACCTTTCGATTGATATGAGAATTATTCAAATCGGTCGAATTTCAGGAAAGTTATAGCCATATACCGAATCGGCGGATACTGAATCGGCGATACTGAATCGGCTATACTGAATCGGCGATACTGAATCGTCCTTAACCGTCTATAACTACTACAACAACCACCATTTTAGAACTTCGACAAATGGTATAAAACAATCAATGGTACTATCCTATTTGCTTTTTTCAAAAAATACTCATGGTTCAAAATGAGTCAATGCCGGGATTTGCTAGCTTCAGTAATATAACTCATATAATTTCCTAGAACTCATATGATCTAACCGATAATAATGAAATTTCTGATTTCGGGAAATCGAGTTAGCTATATAAAAAATTTCTAAAGAGATTTGAGATATCTGAGAGAATTAAAAGAATTCAAGCTCCAGAAAAGAGAGACCATGTAATCAAAAGAGTACTACTTCTATTTGTTCTATATTCCTACATAATCTTATGAAATAGATGTCTCTTGAACTGTGAGTCATATACTCACCATAGTGCCAATTCTAAATTCCTCTCCTTCATCTGTTGCAACTCAATCCCTTTGCCTACACATTGAACATTGATCTTAGATAAACTGTTAATCTGTTGCTCGTCTACATTCATGCACCCTCGGACATAACAAAACGATAAATTATTTTATAATAAACAAAAAATATATTTAATTTATAATAATATGGAATTGTATGGATTAACTGAATAAAACGAAAAAAGCCGTTTTTTTCGTTTTTTAATAATCTTCTTATTCTTCGCCCTCAGGTTTCTCGTTCAGATCAAAAGGATGAATTATCTTATTTAAATCTATTTGCGTTGTATCATCTTCGTGAATTTTATTCGGCTCTTCAACCTCGATTTGAATTTGTTCATCTTTGTTATTATTGCATTCTTCCTCCTCTTGATTAACAAGATTTCCTTCCTCCTCGCAAACAATTGCTAATTTAACTAAATTAGTAAAATCACAAGTCTGTTGATTAACAAATGAAGTTCCTTCATTATTTTCAGATTGAACGTTTTTCTTATTTTGTCGGTATTTTCGCTGGTATTCATTCAACTTTTCTTTATTATTATTTTTATATATTTTTTGATTGTTTCTGATAATTTCCTTATTCTTTTGATAGTAATTTCTATTGATTCCAAGCAACCTTTCTTTATTTTTTTGATAATATTCTTTCCTACGACTCTTATTTCCTTCATAGTAATTTCTGTGTTTCTCATATAGTTTTTCTTTATTTTGTTTTTGGTAATTTCGAATATTTGCAAGCAACTTTCCTTTATTTTTTTGGTAATATTCTTTATTATATTCATTTTTGTTAAACCCTTTCTTTCCTCTTCTTTCTTTGTCCTCTGTAATTTTTAATTTTGGTTCTAACGTTTCTTTATATTTTCGAATTCGAGGATTGACCGAAGATTCAGCCCCATCATGTGCCGAGTAATCCTTTTCAGTAAGTCGCGCTAAATTTTTTTGAGTTGGAGTCGTTTAAATAGATGTCCATAATACCAAATTGAAGATTATGGCGACTAAGAACTAGAAAGTTTCATCCTAAACAAATTTTATCATTTATTTAAAAAATTTATTTATTAATAATGGGTTGTTAGATAAATAATGATCCCTTTGCGCATGAGCCCTCGTTTGAAGCAATACAAAATAACAGTCCGAATTTCAAATTTTGAGGACATAATTTTAAAAAATTTTTAAAAAATTGCAAAAATCAAAATTTATCTTTTAGATGGTTTAGAATGATAGAAAAAAGCGTGAACTATCGACTCTAGTAGATGTAAAATAATTTTAACTAAAATTCGAATACCTATACATAAAAAAAGACTAAAAATACGAAAAGGGCTCATTATTTATCTAACAACCCATTAAATAAAATAAATAAAAATTACTCAAAAATTATAAATTTTAATTTAAATAAATTAAAATTCGAGAAGGACTTATGTAATCGTGTAAATTTAAAAGGGCAATATAGCTAGAGTCTATATGTAAGACAGAAAATTATGAAATCACAATGGACAATCTATGTGAAATATAAAAATAAGTAAAATTCATTGAAAGTAAAGTGAGATATAGAAAACAAGGTAATTAATAAACAAATAAAAATAGTAAATGTCTGAATAAATTGTTGTGTGAGAAATTTTAAAGGCAAAATTAAATTAGTCAGTCTGCTCACAATTCTAACTGGGGTTCTACATGTCTAATGTAAACATACATATAAAGAGTTTATTTAGATTTATGTCACTTAAATCTCGTTATTTCGTGGCGGATATAACGAGACTAATAACTAATATTTGAGAACTAACTAGGATTTTATTATTTTAAAGCATTTAAATGTAGTAGGCGTATTTATGAAAAAGCATAATTAAAAAGGAAATTTAAAAATATAAATTATTTTTGACTAAGAAGCAAGAAAAAAAGTTAAAATTATAGTCGACTTCTTGACACTGTGACTATGCTTCGATAAGTGAACTCTCCCAACGATTAAATTGTAACTGTTAAATTGGACAAATTTGAGATCAGTATCAGAACTTTGATCAGAATAAAAAATCAGAACAAAAGTGAGATTGGTATCGAACTAATATCATAATATAAAATCGAACAAGATTGGTTTTTATGTGTAGGCAAGAAGCTAAAGAACATTTTTCCGAATTGACTCGCAAAAAAATAGTAGAAATATGGCCTCCGAAATAATTTCCAAACATTGTCATATTTTTGCTTTTATATTTTTCTATAAACGAATTAATTAATATGTAGTTCTCTATGTATTTTTATTGACCATTTTAAACTTTATAAGAGAGGAAGAAAAAAAAGAAATAATGGGGGTTTATTAATATTTACATTTCTCATCGTTATAAAAGCAGAAATACGAAGGAAAAGAAAAAAAGGTGCGGATAACCGTTTGCGGACGTGGAGGGATATAATTGCATAGTACCATAAAAAGTATTATAGTATATTATAAAATTAAAACCAACAAGTTCACTAAGGATTATAGTCTCTCTATAAATTGAGCATAAATATCATTAATAAAATACATACTAAAATGTGTATAAGATGCAACAGGGAAAATCTTAAAAATCCGAATTTGGAATAAAAGAAAATTAAATATACCACCTTTATCGTATATTAAAAGACAATTTTGTCTCTAACTAAATTACTTATTTAATGTTAGATAATAGAAAATTGAAAAATGGGAACTGTTCTCAATGATCCTCCAGTTCTTCATCCTCAGGCATCTTGTTCAAATCAAAAGAGTAAATTTTCTTCTTTAATTCTTTATTATTTGTGTCATCTTCAATAATTTTATTTGGCTCTTCAACCTCTATTTGATCATACTTTTCTTTGTCATTATTTAATTTTTCCTCTTCTTGATTAAAAAGATTTCCTTCCATTTCGCAAACAATTGATAAATTAACTAAATTAGTAAAATCAACAGGCTGTGGATTAACAAATTTAGTTCGATCATCATCAGCAGATTTTACGTTTTTCTTTTCTTGTCGGTATTTTCGCTGATACTCATTCAATTTTTCTTTGTTATTTTGGTAATAAATTTTTTTATTTTTCTGAATCCTTTCATTATTTTTTTCTCGGTAAATTTTTGATTGTTGACTTATCTTCTCTCTATTTATTTTCTTGTAATTTCGCTTATATTCATTTAACTTTTCTTTATTTTTCTGATAATATTCTTTTTTATATTTACTTTTGTTAAACATTTTGCCTTCTACTTTGTCTATATCCTTTTTAGTAATTTGTAATTTTGGTTTTAACGTTTCTTTATATTTTTGAATTCGAGGATTGACAGACGATTCAGCCCAATCATTTAATATTTTAGTTGCCGTGCATAGATGGCCATATTATTCCATTGATGATCAAAAAGATCAAAAAACTTGTATATTTCATTTTAAACAAATTTTAAAATTAAGGAAAAATAACAAAATTTAATTTAAAACCGTTTTATAACTGAAAATTTTTGAGGAATAAGAACATTATATGCCTATTATATTATGTTTTGTAATAGATGAAAGGGATGTATAAAACGGCAATGAATGACAGACTGACAAATTCGGAAATCTTAAGTACAATTGCGCAAACATTTTTACATTTCTAAATATAAAAACATTATTCGTCGAAAGGAAAGTGCAAATTAGAAAAAAAGAAATTATTTAAGAATAAAGCAAAAATAATTAAGAAATATTTGAAGAAATTCTTGTGAGTGGGGGGTGTAATATTTGAAGTAGATATCGATTACCTAGCTCGGGCACAAAAGCTAGGTAATTGAGACTGAATTATTTTGGGAGATCGAGCGCGATTCCAATTGAGCTACTATATTTAAATGTTGGCGCGTTAAAGACGTTGTTGCGTTCAACAAATAATTCTTAATCATTTTTGCTTTATTATTAAGAAATTTATTTTTTTCCGACTTTGCACTTTACTTTCTACGATTTTATTTGTTTTTATATTTAGAAATGTAAAAATGTTTGCGCAATTGTACTTAAGATTTCCGAATTTGTCAGTCTGTCATTCATTGCCCTTTTATACATCCCTTTCATCTATTACAAAACATAATATAATAGGCATATAATGTTCTTATTCCTCAAAAATTTTCAGTTATAAAACGGTTTTAAATTAAATTTTGTTATTTTTCCTTAATTTTAAAATTAATTTAAAATGAAATTGGCTAGTTTTTTGATCGTTTTAATCATCAATGGAATTATATGGGCATCTGTTAAAACTACTTCAACTCAGAAAGGTTTAGCTGCTGAAAAGGACTGCACGGCAACTAAAAGATTAAATGATGAGGCTGAATCGTCTGTCAATCCTCAAATTCAAAAACATAAAGAAACGTTAAATCCAAAATTAAAAATTTCAAAAAAGGACAAGGATAGAGGGGGAGTCAATGAATCAAACAAAAGTAAATATAATAAAGAATATTACCAAAAAAATAAAGAAAGGTTTCTTCAACATATGCGAAATTACAATAAAAAGAATAAGGAAAAGAAGAATCAATTTTCAAAAATTTACTATCAGAAAAATAAAGAAACTGTACAGAAACGGAAGAGAATTTATTACCAAAATAATAAAGAAAAATTGAAAGAATACCAACAAAGATATCAACAAAAAAAGAAAAACGTAAAATCTGTTGATGATGAAAGAACTTCATTTGTTAATCCACAGACTGGCGATTTTATTAATAAAGGTAAATTACCAATAGTTTGCGAGGTGGAAGGAAATCTTTATAATCAAGGGGAGGAAGAATGCAATAATCGCGAAGATGGAAAAAATCAAATCGAGTTAGAAGAGCCAAATAAATTTCTTGAAGATGACACAATAGATTTAAATAAAAAAATTCTTCCTTTTGATCTGAACAAAGAGGAAGGAAATCTTTTTAATCAACGTGAGGACAAGCACAATAATGGAGAAGTAAATCAAATCGAAGTTGAAGAGCCAAATAAAATTCCTGGAGATGATATAATTCAAATAGATCTAAATAAGAAAATACTTCCTTTTGATTTGAACGAGATGCCCGAGGATGAAGAATTGGAAGATCACTAATAACTGTACTCCATTTTGAATTTTTTATTATTTAATTTTTAAAATTATGGTATTTCAAAATTGCACCCCCACCCCCAGTTGCATAATTATACACATATTTTAGTATAAATTTTTCTATAAATGATATTTATGCTCATTTCATAAAGCGGATCCATAGAATCCTGCTTGATCCGTTTGCTCCGAATTTTAGTATATAATTTTATATTAGCCCCCTCAAACAACAAGTCATTCAATACCTTCTTGTTTAATTATTAATTAATTGCTTTTTTCGACTTTGTACTTTCCTTTCAATGAATTTTAAATTCTTCTTTAAGTTGTAAGAATATTTCTTCAATATTTTAGCAAAACTTTACTCTAAAATTATCTCACAACTCCGTTTCCTAAAGTATATTTAAGGATTTTCCCCGACCTAACCATGAAAATAATTTACATGTAATTTTTTTTCTCTGCGTACTTTCCTTTCAATGAATTTTACTTTTTTTATTTTTAGAAATTTAAAAATGATTGCACTTTGAGGATTTCTTAATTTGTTTGTCTAATATTTCCAAACTCTAGCCTTATTGCCTTTTTATACATCAAATTCAAAATAATTAGACGATGTCCTTATACATATCCTTCACATAAGTTCATTTATATAAATTCAAATTTTAATAAATTTTATTATTTTTTCACTTTGTTTAATAATTTTAATTTCCTTTCTTTTGAATTTATCCAAAAAAATTAAAATTTGTTTAGGATGAAATTTGCTTCTTTCTTAAACGTTTTAATCTTCAATACGATTTTATTGGATATAATAGAAACTATTCCAACTCATAAAGGCTTAGTTATACATGCTGCAAACGATAAAATGGAAAAGGATTTCACCGAGACATTAAATGATGAGGCTGAATCGTCTGTCAATCCTCAAATTCAAAAATATAAAGAAACGTTAAGACTAGAATTAAAAAATACAAAAAAGGACAGAAACAATGTGAAAGACAAAAAGGTTAACAGAAGTGAATATAATAAAGAATATTACCAAAAAAATAAAGAAAGGATTTGTGAGAACAAGCGAAATTATAAAAAACAAAACAAAGAAAAGATAAATGAGACTCAAAGAAATTACTATAGAAGGAATAAAGAAAGTATAAATAAGCAAAAACGTCAATATATGAAAATTTACCGCCAAAAAAATAAAGAAAGTATAATGCAAAAACAGAAAACTTATGAACAAAATAACAGAAAAAAGCGGAATGAATATAAGCGAAAATACCGACAAAATAAGAAAAACGTTCAATCTGATAAAAATGAAGGAACTTCATTTGTTAATCCACAGACTGATGATTTCAATAATAAAGGTAAATTACCAATTGTATGCGAGGGAGAAGGAAATATTTTTAATCAAGAAGAGGAACAATGCAATACTGGCGAGGATGAGCAAAATCAAATCGAGGTAGAAGAGCCGAATAAAATTCTTAGAGAAGAATCAAAAACAAATCACATGGATTCAAATAAGAAAATACTTCCTTTTGATCTGAACGAGAAACCTGAGGATGGAATTGAAGAAGATTAATAAAAAGAATTCTGTTCCAAGTCCCGATAACAAAAAAATCATAAGATTCGCTCTGCTTTCATTTTTCTATAAATAATTTATTTATACTAAACTTTTATTTTACCGAATATTTATTTTTTAATATATAATGATAAATTTCCAATTATTTAAAGCTTTTAAAAGATTCAGAAAATCAACAAACTTATTACCAAAATAATATATCATCATTTTCGTAAGATAAGAAAAGTACAGATAAAAAAGCATTTGATAAAAAAGCACTTGCTAGTTTCTTAATTGCTTTAATCTTCAATGCAATATTATGGGTATTAGATAAGACTGTTTCTATTCGAAAAAGTTTAGCTAAACACGCTGAAAACGATAAAACGGCAATTAAAATAATAAATGATGGGGCTGAATCGTCGGTCAATCCTTCCATTCAAAAATATAAAGAAACGTTAAGACTAGAATTAAAAAATACAAAAGATGGCAAAGATAATGTCAAAGACAACGTGGTTAAAATAAGTAAATATAATAAAGAATATTACCAAAAAAATAAAGAAAGGAATTTAAGAATGAAGAAGGAACTTCATTTGTTAATCCTCAGACTGACAGTTTTATTAATAAAGGTAAATTACCAATAGTTTGCGAGGAAGAAGGAAATATTTTTAATCAAGAAGAGGAAAAATGCAGTAATGGCGAGGATGAGCAAAATCAAATCGAGGTAGAAGAGCCGAATAAAATTCTTAGAGAAGAATCAAAAACAAATCACATGGATTCAAATAAGAAAATACTTCCTTTTGATCTGAACGAAAAACCTGATGATAATGCTTGGAAAGATTAATAAAAAGAATTCTGTTCCAAGTTCCAATAACAAAAAATAATAAGATTCACTCTTCTTTCATTTTCCTAAAAATAATTTATACTAAACTTTTATTCTACTGAATATTTATTTTTTAATATATAATGATAAATTTCCAATTTTTTTAAAGCTTTTAAAAGATTCAGAAAATCAAAAAACTTATTACCAAATTAATATATCATCATTTCGTACGATAAGAAAAGTACAGATAAAAAAGCATTTGATCAGATAATAATTAATAAATTCAGTATTTTTAGTGAAAAATGTTTCGATTCACCGGCTTCTATCTTAAAAGTGAGATTTTCTAGTTCATCTTAGTAGAAATAACTCAAAATTCATCCATTATTACTCTAAAATTCTTCCACAACTCCGTTCCCAAAATAATATTTAAGCATTTCCCCCCAGCCTAACCTTGAAAATAATTTATAATTCTAATTTTAAAAAGTCTTTCCGTCTATGCACTTTCCTTTCAATGAATTTTACTTGTTTTTATGTTTAAAAATTTAAAAATGATTGCACTTTGAGGATTTCTTAATTTGTTTTTCTCTCTCTTGCCTTGTTGACCTTTTATACATCAAATACAAAATAATTAGACGATGTCCTTATACATACATTCACATAAGTTTATTTATATAAATTCAAATTTTAATAAATTTTATTGTCTTTTTTACACTTTATTAATAATTTATTTCTCCTTTCTTTTGAATTTATCCAAAAAGTTACACATTGGTCAATCCGAATCTAGTTATTACCTTTTGAACCCAAATTGTACCTATTTTTCTTTAGTTAAGAAAATTTTAAAATTTGTTCAAGATGAAACTTGCTAGTTTTTTAAACGTTTTAATCTTCATTGCGATATTATGGGCATTTGTTAAGACTGTTTCTATTCGAAAATGTTTAGCTAAACATGCTGAAAACGATAAAACGGCAACTAAAATAATAAATGTTGTGGCTGAATCTTCGGTCAATCAATCGTCAATCAATCAATCGTCAGTCAATCCTCCCATTCAAAAGTATAAAGAAACGTTAAAACCAAAATTAAAAAATACTAAAAAGGACAGAAACAATGTGAAAGGCAAAAAGGTTAACAGAAGTGAATATAATAAAGAATATTATCAAAAAAATAAGGAATATCATCGAAATTACCAAAAACAAAATAAAGAAAAGATAAATGAGAATAAACGAAATTACTATAAAAGGAATAAAGAAAGGATACAGAAATACAAAAAAATGTATAACCAGAATAATAGAGAAAAGTGGAATGAATACCAGCGAAAATACCGACAAGAAAAGAAAACCGTTCAATCTGATAATAATGAAGGAACTTCATTTGTTAATCCACAGATCGGTGATTTTAATGTTAAAGGTAAGTTACCAATTGTGAGCGACGAAAATTTCGAGGAAGGAAATCCTTTTAATCAAGAAGAGGAAGAACGCAATAAAGATAATCAACATCAAATCGAGGTTGAAGAGCCGAATAAAATTCTTGATGATAAATCAAATACAAATCACATGGATTCAAACAAGAAAATTCTTCCTTTTGATCTGAACGAGGAACCTGATGAATAAAGATGGGAAAGATTAATAAAAAGAGGTCCAGACCAAATCCCGATACTAAAAAATCATAAGATTCTCTTTTCTTTCATTTTCGTAAAAATAAATTGTAACTTGTTTCAAATTTTATGAGCTTTCATATAGGCCTAAAGAAAGGCTTTAAATCGGGTAAAATATTTTTTAAAGTCTGTCACCTTTTTTCCGTTGATTTTCGAGATATGATATCACAATGAAGAAAAACACATAATTCTGCTGGTGGCCAAAGTTACAAAAAATTGACGATTAAAGTTTCGAAAAACATTGGTGACCAAAATTCTAATGAACATAATTCGGGTACCGCATTTAAAGGAAACATTTTACTTAATTCACAAGCAAAAATAAAAAAAGAAATTTAAAGCTATCAAAAAAAGTTAATTTCAAAATTTATTTTAGGTTTATACTTCGACTACTTGAGTATTTTTACAATGATGAACATTTTAGTCCGTTCCCATAATAGTCTGTTCCCAAAAACAACTCCGTTCCATAAAAATATTTAAGGAATTCGCCCTATCTAACCCAAAATAATTTATAATTATACTCTTAAAGTTTTTTTTCCTCGTCTGCGCTTTTTTCTCAATGAATTTTACTTGTTTTTATGTTTAGAAATTTAAAAATGATTGCACTTTGAGATTTCTTAATTTGTTTGTCTAACATTTCCAAACTCTTTCCTTGTTGACCTTTTATACATCTAATACAAAATAATTAGACGATGACGTTATACATTTCCTTCACATATGCTTATTTATATGTATAAATTCATTTTTTAATAAATTTTATTAGGGTCACTTCGGAGGGGGGACATGGACTAAAAAATTTGATGAATATAAATCCAGGTTGGTAGCAAATCCAATATCCAATCACAAATAAAATCCAATATCTTATTAATCTTCCGTTTCTTCTTCCTCAGGTTTCTTGTTCAAATCAAAGATGCAATTTTTCTTATTTGAATCTATTTTCTTTATGCCATCTCCAAGAATTTTATTTGGGTCTTCTACCTCGATTTGATTTTCTTCTACATTATTGTCTTTCTCCTCTCCTTGATTTAAAAGATTTCCTTCCTACTCGCAAACAATTGATAAATTAACTAAATTAGAAAAATTACCAGTCTGTGGATTAACAAATGAAGTTCCTTCATTATTATCAGATTGAACGTTTTTCTTATTTTGTCGCCATTTTCGCTTGTATTCATTCAACTTTTCTTTATTTTTTTGGTAGTAAATTTTCATAAGTTGACTCTTTTTTTCTTTATTCTTTATATTGTAGTTTCGCTTTTGCTCAATTATTTTTTCTTTATTTTGTTCTCGGTATTTTCGCTTAATTTCACGCAACCTTTCTTTATTTTTTTGATAATATTCTTTATCATATTCACTTTTCTTAAACACTTTGTCTTCTCCTTTGGCTGTAGTCTTTTTAGTAATTTTTAATTTTGGTTTTTACGCTTTTTTATGTTTTTGAATTTGAGGATTGACCGACGATTCAGTCCCATCATATAATGTTTTATTAACATCCTTTGACGTGTAATCCTTTTCAGATTGTTTAGCTAAACTTTTTCGAATGTGAACAGTTTTAACAAATATAGCATTGAAGATAAAAACGATTAATAAACTAGCAAGTTTCATCCTAAAAAATTTAATAAATTTAGTTAAAAATTAACAAAAAATAATAAAATTTAATTTAAAAATGAATTTATAAAATGATAAATTCTGAGGAATATAAGGGCATTATATAAATTATATTTTGTAATAGATGTATTTATGAAATCGTCAATGAATAAAAGTGCAAGAAAGCAGACAGTCAAGTTACAAAAGGGGTATTTCACAACCTTATACTATTTAATTTAAAAAAACAAGTAAAATTCATAGAAAGGAAAGTGCATAATATAAAAGAAAATTACATAATAATTACTGGTAGCAGTTTAATCACAAAAACCGAGACTTCAGCTCTGCAACAGATCATCGTATACGAATGATTCACTTATATTTAAATTTATTATTTTTTCGTATGTAATTATTGCTTTTAAATTCAATGTTCGGGTCCTATGGGGATTTTGAAAACTAAAAATCTTGATCAATTCTAATAAAAGTTGCTAGCAAATCAATATATAATGCAATATAAAACCCAATATCTTAATAATCTTCCACTTCTATGTCCATCGTTTGTCGTTCAAATCAAGATAATTTCTCTCATCTGAATCTATTTTATTCATGGCATCACCAAGAATTTTTTTGGGTCTTTTGCCTCGATCTGATTTTGTTTTATTTTGATTTGAACTTCAGATTGAATGTTTTTCTTTTTTCTCGATATTTTCGTTTGTGAGAAGATTTGAAATTATTCTGAAGTGAAAAAAGCAAAATTTAAATATGGAAAAGTTAAAATTTAAATTAATATTACTTTACATATTCATATAAATGGATCCAAAATCTTGAATCGCACGTAAGGCTATTTGCGATTGGTGATGATTGGCGGTTCATAAGGATTCCAACAATGATTGGCGGTCCTTGTTTTCTGATCTTAGTTTCAATAAAATTTAAAAAATCATAGGAAATATGCAAAATCGATGAGACTGTGG